TATCAGAGGCACTAAAACTTCCTCTTCCAGTTATTCACAAACTGAAGGGCTTAAATGCTCTCAAAGCATGTGCCAGTATGAGTTTTCATTGTTCTGTCTTCCCTACAAACACTAAAAGGCTGGAGAGCAAGACATATCACCAGTTTTACTGTCTCTACCTAGAGATGGCAGTCTGCAGTGACCACTTACTGACAACTAATGACAAATGACTCGTTAAGTCACTTCATTATTTACCTTGAATTTCATTTATACAGAGGTATGAAAACAGATTTCCTGTGAGTAGGATCCAGAAAATGACATCATTACTGCATGACAACTACTAATGACATCATCACTGCATGACAACTAAACAGTTTTGAACATCTGCTAATGTTCCACCTGGGGCTTCTCCTTCCAGCTTCCTGCCAGTGCAGCAATGGCTCAAGCAACTGGGTCCCTGGCTTCAGCCACAGTCTACGGTACGGGTACCAGCTGAGGGGGGGACAAGGAGATGAGAGCTTGTGCAATTATATTCTCTTTCACTGTTTCTCTCTCAAATACATAAAAACATATTTTTTAAAGATTTATTTTTATTGAAAAGTCAGACATACAGAGGAGAGGCACAGAGGAAGATCTTCTGTCCAATGATTCACTCCCCAAGTGGCCACAATAGCTGGAGCTGAGCTGTTCCGAAGCCAGGAGCCAGGAGCTTCTATGGGGTCTCCCATGTGGGTGCAGGGTCACAAGACTTGGGCCATCCTTGACTGTTTTCCCAGCCACCAGCAGGGAGCTGGATACGAAGCAGGGCTGTTAGAATTAGAACCAGCGCCCATATGGGATCCTGGCACATGCCAGGAAAGGACTTTAGCCATTGGGCTATAGTACTGGGCCCATAAAAATATTTTTTTAAGAGAAAATCCTATAGGTTTTTCTACGTGCAATTTAATTAAAAAAAAATATATAATGTCTTTCAAAGTTGTGTTGGTTAGGAACAAGTGTCAATCAGCTAGGTCATCAGGAAGCAACTGAGGTTTCAGCAATCCTAGGTAAAACACTAGGATCTGGCAGACTGAATAGGCCACTTCACTTGAACAACATGGAAAAGGAGAAACAAATGAAGGAAGCTTTGCAAGGGCAACATACTTCGTTATGTAATGATGAAAAGCCCACAGGATCCTAAGACTCAACCGAATTTTCTTAATGCTTTAGTTCTACTAAGACGATTAGATGGCTAAAATAGATAAACTAAGCAGCACTTTTTATTTGGAAACACAATCTGCTGGATTATAAAAAGGGATGCTATGTGGGGCATCACCCAAATATACAACCTTGTCATTTAAGAGATCCTCCCAAAATTTCTAATTTAAGAAAAAAAAAGGCTTTATGGGTTCACACTATTCAAAATTTAAAGTTAACTTGGAAATACACTGTAGGTATACAATATATTGATGGCATACTTAAAACACACACACACACACACATATACTGATCTTATCACAATATGATTTCACCACTTCACAATAGTGTGACTTTAATAAGTTATCTAGGTACTCCAAATCCCATTCTGCTACCTATTAAAAAAAAAAAGATAAAAACGGCTACCGTTGATTTTCATTGTGATACATCTTAGATGTGTTGTAATTCATTCTTATCTGATACCCGTACCACATTATCAGACACAGCATCACCAGTTCAAAACACCCTGGCAGAACAGCACACAAGAGGGCAATACTTCCTGAGGCAGCTTTTTTCATCCTCATACTTTTATTTTTCTTACATTAAAATCAGTCTCCTAATTATATGTTCAACCCCATTCTAGTTTTCAATCTTATTAAGCAAAACTAACTGAATTCTCTTGAAACTCAAAGTTCATGAGGGACTTGACACTATTTCTGTTCAGTCTCCAAGCCCAGCACCTAGAACAGCAGTAACACTTAGCAGATGTGCAATACACACTCACAGAAAGAGTGATGTGTTCCAAGCTGTATTTTTACTGACCGACTAATGAGATGCTAATACAAGCAGCAAAGATGTAGCACTGCTGGAGGGAACCATAATGCCCAAAGTTCAGAAGCTGAAACAGCCGAACCACGGGTGGGTACTGGGCCTAAAGGCTAAGACACCGCCTCGCGTGCAGAACTCCTGGCTCTGGTTCCTCACTCCTGCTTCTTGCCAGCAGATCCTCCAGGCTGCGGATGCGGATTTATGCAGCTGGCTCCTTGCCGCCCAAAGGGCCGACCGAGACTGGGGGCCCAGTTCTCAGTTTTGGACACTAGGGGTGAATCAGTGGGTGAGAGCTCACGCACACACACTCTCACAATTTAAAAAATATTTTGGGGGCCAGTGTTGTTGTAGACTGGGTTAAGCTGCAATCTGAGCTGCTGGCATCCCACATCGACATGGGTTGAAATCCTGGTGCTCCAGCTCTGATCCAGCCCCCTACTAATAATGCACCTGAAAACAGAGGTTGGCTCAAGTGATGGGAGCCTGCACCCACGGAGGAGACCTGGCTGAAGCTCCGGGCTGCCCATTTCAGCCCAGCCTCTGTGGCCATATGGGGAGGGAACCATCAGATAGAAGACTGGTCTCTCTTCCTTCCTCCCTTTGCCTTTTTCAAATAAATCAATTTAAAAAACCATTTTTTAAATAACATAACCAAATTCATGCTCTGCTTTTTAAAAACTCGTTAGGATATGGCAAACAAAAAGTTATTTTGCCATAATATAAATGAATGGTGATGCTTTTCAAAGATAAGAGAGAGACCAATAAGGAAAGCTTAGAACTAGATGGGAAACGGTCAGCTCTGACTCACATATACCTTACTAGGCAGGACACAAAATTAGTTACTCCGCACTAAGCTATCAAAGATTTCTCTGCACACCCCTCCTAAAACTGTTCTGCGCTTCAACTGTTGACATATGCCTGTTAAGAGTTATAAGCCAGTTTGAACTACCCTAAAATTTGCCAAGTTCAGTAAAAACTATGCTTCAATACTATAAAGTGCTAAATATAAAAATGAAAATATACACAAGACAGCTGAATAGTATCCTAAAGCCATTTTAAGGTGTATAGCAGCCAGTTATGTATAAATTAAAATTGAAATGTCAATGAAGTAGTCACAGGAAGTGGTTAAGAATTTGCATTTTCTAACATATCAGTCATTCAACACCATGTCAATTAACTCCATAATGTTGTAAATTGTTGTTGATGATATGTTGTGGCTTTTCATTGGACGGGATGATATTCTGCCAGCTCTGCTTTCAGACCAGAGATGGTCTCCCCAAGAAACTGTTGAATTGATCTGGACAATAAGATGCTGGACTCTATGCATGGTACATGCTTGCAATGAAAGAATCATGACTGGATTTGAACTGTAATACTGCAACAAGGTAGAAGAATCCACCAAGGGGGGAGGGTTAGGGGAGGGGTTGGGGGAATCTCAGAGCCTATGAAACTGTGTCATAAAATAAAATGAAATTTAAAGAAAAAAAAAAGGTCCCTTCAAAGCAATGAACTCAATGGCTCCATAACTTAGTCAGAACTTGTTTTATACTTAACCAAATTCCAAGTATGTATTTCTTAAAAATCTCAAAATTATATGCAACCTGTCACTAACTAGTCTATAAGGAAACCAAAAATACTAACCTAGCAAAATCTTATCACCTGAAAACTACTCAGAAAAATCAAAACTGAAGTTTTGATCAAAGACCAAAATCTATAACAACTTTTTCTCATGACTTTCTTAGTGACACACTGCTATAAATAAACATCTCCCTGCCTAAACACTAGACTTCATTTATTATTTACTCACATATTTCAGGGCCTAAAGGTAGGTTTCATAAAGTATGTTCTACGTCACAGAACCGGAAACTCGGTGAACAAACAGTTCACATTCCTCTCAAAACTCTGGACATATTTCCATCTCTAATGTAAATTTCTCTTGTCACCCAACAGCTGTCATTGTGTCACCAGCGTAAGCAAAGCATCATTAGTAAGGTTCATCTTCCTGCGCATACCCTAGTCAGCAGCCGTTTCAAACTCAGCACTTCTTCGATGATCTGACTCACGGATACCTGAGACTCTGGTGGAAAATTAGTGGTCTAGAAATATGCAATTTCATTCAAGGGCATGAAGCCAGCAGGCAAACACAAGATGGACAGAATTCTACAGCAAAGGCTCACGCCTGAGTGAGGACAGCAAGGGGACTGAGCTGTGACAAGGGAGCGCCGCCGGGAGGCCCCCCTTCCCCTCCACGGATGAAGCCGCTCGTCCCACCAAACTTCCTTCCCCGCTGGAGGCAGGTCCGCGCCTTCCCCGGGCAGCACGGGCAGCACGCAGGTCCAAGGACCGCACGGCCAGGACGGCAGTGTGCAGGGGGTGCTCCTCAACTGCCCGACCCGGGCAGGTGCAGGCAGCGGGGCAGCGCGGGGCAGCGCGGGCTCCGTCCCCGCAGTCCATCCCGCGGCCAGGGGACGACTTGTCCACGGGGCTGCAAGGATGTTGCCAAAGGCGGCGACCGCACGCAGGAAGTTTCTCAAGGGCCCCGGCCGGGGGTGCGGGGGAGGGGTGCCGGGCGGGTCCCCCACCCCAGGACACCCCAGGACACCCCAGGACACCCCAGGTGAGCGCCCTCGGGGTGCCCTGTCCAAGGTAGCAGCAGCAGCAGCCTCGGGGAGGTGCGGGGGCGGACCTGGCGGCAGCCTCAGCTCTCGGTCCACTCGGGGAGGGGGGCGGCCAGCAGCGTCCCGCCCGGGGTCCCCCGCCCCCCACCGGCCAGCAGCGTCCCGCCCGGGGCTCCCCGCCCCCCACCGGCCAGCAGCGTCCCGCCCGGGGGCCCCCCGCCCCCCACCGGCCAGCAGCGTCCCGTCCGGGGTCCCCCCGCCCCCCACCGGCCAGCAGCGTCCCGTCCGGGGTCCCCTCGCCCCCCACCGGCCAGCAGCGTCCCGCCCGGGGCCCCCCGCCCCCCGCCCCCCCACCGGCCAGCAGCGTCCCGCCCGGGCCCCCACGCCGCCCCTTCTCACCTGATCTTGTAGTTGGGGAGCGTGTGCTTGCGCTTGATGACCTTCTTGAGCTGGTTGACGATGATGGAGGTGAGCTGGGGCATGGGCCGCCCTTCGAACTGGGAGCGCACCTCGAAGTCGATGAGCGGGTCTTCCACGAAGGAGAAGAACCAGTGGGTGAAGGGCACGCGGGTGAGCACGAAGCGCAAGCGCCCCACCACGCGGGACAGCTTGACGAAGAGGTAGGCGGACTTGCCGAAGACCAGGTCCACGTCGATGGCCAGGTGGAAGCCCCCGTTGTACTCCACCTCGGCCTCGAAGGCCAGCTCCTCGGGGCAGCTGGCGGGCGGCGCGTCGGGCTCGGCGCCGTCGGGCTCGCCCGTGGCCGAGGCCACCACGGGCCGGACCAGCCGGATGGTCTTGATGAAGGGCACCGTGTCGCCCAGGAACACGTCCCGCAGGCTCAGCCCCTCCAGCAGGCGCCCCGCCGTCTTGGTCTGCAGCAGCTCCTCGAACTCCACCTTGATCTTCTTGGTGACCCAGCGGCGGGTCAGCGCGGTGTCCCGCAGCTCGCGGAACAGGAACAGGATGGTGGCATTGAGGAAATAGCACGTCTCCCGCGTCGGCGGCCCGGGGGTCTCCGGGGCCGGGGTCGCGCCGCCCTCGGGGGCCCCTCCGGCCGGCTCCTCAGCCCCGCCGCCGCCGCCGCCATAGAGGTACTCCCTCAGGGGCAGGCCCGGCACCGGCTTGAGGTAGCGAAAGCCGTCGCCCGCGCGGGCGGCCTCGTCCGGAGGCGGCTCGGGCTGTCGGCGGTACAGCAGCAGGAACTGGGTGAGCAGCGTGAGGAAGGAGCCCAGCACGGCCGACACCAGGATCATGAGCAGCAGCCCCATCCCGCCGCCGCCGCCGCCGCCGCCTCCGCCCGGGCCGCCGGGGCCCCCGCTCCCGCAGCGCCGCCGCCTTCCTCACGCCGCCTCCATCTTGAGGACATGGGGCGGCGGGAGGTCGGGGCTGAGCGGCTCCCTGGGCCTCGTCCCGCGGCTCGGGCTGGCGCGGTGCGGCGCCGGAGCCTGCAGCGGCCCGCGCCTCCTCAGAGACGCTCCGGGGGCGGCCGGTGTGGCGACGGCCGCGGCGGCGGCGGCGGCGGGGGCGGGACGGCGCCTCTGGAGGCCTCCGCTCATTGGACGGATGCCGCGTGACGTCGGGAGCGTGCTCGCTCCCGGCTGCCGGCGTCCTCTGGCAGCGGGCGTCCGGGCGCGCGCACGCGGGTCCTTCGGGCACTCTGGGGGCGCCCTGGCAGCCCCGCCCCCCGCGCCCACATTCCCCGCCGCGGCGGAGCGCTGCACGTGGTGGTCCTCACTTGTGGCCGGGCAGGGAGGCACCGTGGACCCGGGATATCCGGTGGACTCGAGGCGCTGGCCATCCCCGGTCCGTGCCCGTTACCTCTGCAGCAGGCAGAGTGGCGCGTCCCGCAGTGGAGAACTTCCGCTTGCGCCTCCCCTGAGAGCTGAGCTGGCGGCGGCGTCTCCTCCGGGACGGCGCGGGCGAGGACACTTGGCAAGCTGACGGGACAGGGCAGCCATGGCTGGCCACCAAGCCTACCAGCGGGCCCTGGGGCTGAGGGACGGAGAGGAAAGGGCGTGGGAGGCGCGGCGATGTTCCCACCCGAGTGCGTGTTCTGCAGGAAGTTTAGAGGAGGGCCTGGACGAGTCATGACTGAGAAGAATTTGCCAAGTGTTTGGCAGGTGCGTTAACGACTCTCGGTCAAGCTTGTTAAGCCCCTGTCCGCCTACGTGAATTGCCACACTCATTCCCTCCGTGAGGCAGTTAAGTGTTCAGCCCTGTCTTAGGGCTGCTACCAGAGGAGGGGAAGGTGTCGGTTGCAGAGTTCTTGGTCTGCTTTGTGCTCCAACAACACTGAGATGGCCAGAGTCCCCAGGGACCTGGCAGTTCCCTAGTGCACAGGAAGGGAGAGCTGCGGAGAGGGGCCTGGGAAAACTTCAGGGATTACTGTACAACTTGGTGCTTTGGCTAAAGCTACGTTGCCTGGCAACAGTGTTACTGACACCTTCTGCTTAGGTGTTGCATCATAAGTGTCTGTGTCCTTCCAGTCACTTCTGGTCCTGGAAGGTCAGGTAATTCCTGCCCCCTCTGGCTGGCTTTGAGACACAAGGACAGGACTCTTCTCAAGCCCTTGTCCATCTGCAAGCCAGAGAGTCTCTCGGCTCTAGATGATTCTGGAATAACAACAAGCAGGTTTCTGATGCACGTGGGGCACACACAGAACTTTGAAACCAGCTGTGAGACCAGAAGGGCTCCATTACTGGGAAGACAAAACAGGTGTTTGCGAGGCACTTCGCTGAGATTCCTAGGAGCTCCAGGTGCCTTTTGCTCCTGGGGTCCCCTGTGGCTTCTGGGCTGCGCTCTCCATTCTATGCTGTTTCAACCCAAATGGGAAATGTAGGTCTTTCCTCACTTTCCACTAGAAATCTTAATTATTTTAACACTCAATGCCATCATAGTCATAAATGTTACAGAAGCTGGAGGTGGAGTGTGGTGCAGGAATCCGTATTAGTGAAATACCTGGATCTTATGTGCTGTCCATGCTGCTTCCCCACGGGGAAAGTGTGTGGTTTTCTTAGGATGAGTCGGCAGCGTGACAGTCTATTTTAAGGTTCCTTTCCCGTTTCTATGCTCACCTATTCCTTAATCCTCAGAATAACCCTGGAAATCTCAAATCTTCACCATCCATGATGTACATTCAGTGTCCTCTCACTACCTTAAGTTAAAAATGGCTAACATTTATTGAGCAAAATTAACAGTACGGAGAATTGACTATGTGCCAGGCACTTGAGAACAACTGGCCCCAACTCTGAAAATCTGTGATTGTTGGTAGGCTTTTGAAGGAGGTAGTTGTACTTAGCCTGCCTACTGACCTTTCAATGCACCTTAAACATAGGCAGAGTACTCCTTATAGGAAATGATTAGCATCAGGAGTGTTTCAAATTTAATGCTTCATATGTGTGAGTTTGTTGCTTTGGAATGTGTGTGTAGACTTTAAAAATCAAACATTTCTAATCTGAAATCCAAAATTCCATGTTCAAAAGTTTTAAGTCTTGCAAACATGTTCAGATTGGAGATACTGAAGCTGTACGGTTGAGGTTAAGCTGCCAGTAGCGTGAGCGCGTTTCCAGAGTCAAAGCAGCTGAATGCTGGCAGACTAAGGGTGTGTAAGACTCCTGTGCCCACCAGCACAGAAGGCTGGGTCTCTAAGGCTGCCCAGCTCTGGCTCCTTCCTCATGACCACTATATAGGATGAGAAAGTCGGGGCATGTAAGTAGCATAAAAGACAATTTGATAGAAATGATATAAAATAATGCAAGGGGGCAAAATAGGAGAAACATGGAGAAGTTTAGAATTTATGCTAAATGAATGATCATTGAACCATTTTACGAACTAAGAGTTCTAACCAATAGCTGCGCTTTGAGCATCCAGCATGTGCCATGCTCTGGGAATGCTGAGTGAGTTGGACAATGCCTGCCTTCAGGGGTGCCAGGCTCAGGTGGAAGCAGACGTACACTATAGGACTTTGCTGAGAGGAGAAGATGATCCCAGAGAGGGACGTGCCAGGTCCTCTGCCAGCAGAGCAGGTACAATAGATGTGAGGAACAGAAACTGCCTCAGGCCAGCCCAACTGAAAATCTCAGGAACTCAGCAGCAAGCTCCTCAATTGGGGCTGACACCAAAACCTCAGAACGTGAGGGCTGCTTGCATCTCTCATTCCCTGCAGCTCACACCCACCCAGTCTCTGATCTCTGCGTCTCTCTACAAGTCTGTACCAGTTTGTTCTGTAAGCCTCCTGGTGTCCGCTCCCCTCATAGTCTCAGCACACAGGCAGCTTTGGAAAATGCCAGCTCTACACCCAAATCTGGAGGATCCTTTGTCTCTGGTGCCTATTGTGGCCTGTTAGCTCAACCTCAGATTCTGGGAAAGATCTCCAATTGGATCCTAATAGCTATTCCTGATGCCAGCTTTCCTGTGAGACACTTCCATCTGCAGTGGTAAGCAAAGTCTAAGGAGGCAGGACATCTGACATGGCAGATGGGCAATTCTTTTTTTTTTTTAAATATTTATTTTAACTTGAAAGGCAGGGTTACAACAGAGAGAAAAGAGAGAGGGAGAACTTCCATCTGCTGGTTCATTCCCCAAATGGCCATGACAGCCAGAGCTGGCCCGATCTGAAGTCAGGAGCCAGGAACTTCTTCTGGGTCTCCCACATGGTTGCAAGAACTAGGGTTGTCTCTCCTCCAATGCCTTCCCATGCCATTGACACGGAGCTGGGTAAAAAATGGAGCAGCTGGGACTTAATTTGCATCCATAGGAGCTAACACTGCCAAAGACCAAGGTTTAATGTGCTATGCCATGATGCCTGTCCCTAGGCAACTCAGATGGGTTGAAATAAGGGTGTGCCCAGTCTCAGTGCCAGTTCAGACTGGGGCTTATATGGGTATGAAGTCCGTATTTCTTGTTTCTCCTTCTTGACCCTATGCGTTCTTGGATAAAAGGCTTCCTGGGTGTGAAATTCATGAATTCCTCCCAAGGTTTTATTATCCAACATGTTATTGACTGGGTAGCCTTCACTGCCCTCGACTGGGAACCTTGACCTGATGTGTTCCAAAGGAGAAAGGCTGGGAGTAACCCACAGTTACCAGGGTGTGGGCAGGACCTTGATGTGTAAAATGCTGGGCTACTTCTTAAGGCTGCTACATTGCTTCCTGTGGGAAATTTTATCTTCTCCCGTCTGGCTCTTTCACACATGTGGGTTAATGTCTGCCTTCCTACTACCCACGTGGGAGACACAGCTTTGATCCCTGGCCAGTTCCTGCAGTTGGAGAGTGAAAAAAATGAATGGGAGTACATGATCTCTGTCCTTGTCATTATGCAACTGAAAAAAAAATTTTAATGTTAAAAACAGGATATAAAACCAAATCCCGAATCTTTTTTTGTGCTGGGATGATTCTTCTATTTGTGCTGTGGCTCTTACTCCCCTCCAGAGTTTGTTTTCTTCCTGTCAAGCACCTAACCCCCAAACCACATTAACATTATGAACAGTCACCCTGCTGTGCAATGGTAGCAGAACACCTTTTTTTGCTTTTTATACATAACACTTTTATTTAAATATAATTCACATATCGTGTACCCATTTCAAGTGGTTCACAGAAAGAAATGCCTGTGTATATCAGTATTATTGCAAATGTGATGTTTTGTCAAAATTTCTTTTTAATATTTGTCAGGCAAATTGGTAGGAATACATGCCACTACAGTCTTACTGATTCTGTGACTGTTTTAAACTTACCTTATATGAGGGAAGGTAAATGTATTTTCACTTGGTTATTATGCACAGTCCTTGTCCATTTTCCCGTTGCACCATGGCCCTTTAAACTCTTTATTTAGTGGAGCTGATAAGTCTTTGATTATAATGTAAATTTAAAATGTTATCTCAAAAAACACACCAAGAAATGAAGAAATACATTAACCTAAAAAGTGTACCTTTCAAAGAGTTTTAGTGTCTTTTCTGGGTAGTGGGTCACAGCAACAAAATTTCCCAGCGTTTTCATCACCTGAAGAGGACAGGTTATTGTCATCACTGCCCACTCCCATCCCTACAAAGCCTTGGCAGCCCAGGTGACTGGATCTGCTCCCTGTGTGCCTGGCTTTTCCCCTCCTGAGGTTACACATGATATTTTGTTTTCAAGGCTCATTCTTGCTGCAATGTGCATCAGTACTTCATTTCTTTTTATGACTGAATACCATGACAGTGTGTGAATATAAAATTGTTTCTCCACTCAGCAGTTGATGAACATTTGGGTTGTTTCCACGTTTTGGCTATTATCAACACAGCTACTGTGACCGTTTTAATCCAAGTTTTTCCGTGGACAAACATCTGTGGTTTCTCTTGGATTTAAATCTAAGAAGGGAATCTTATTTCATTTTTGAAGGAATTGCAAAGTAATTCTCCAAACTTCACCAATTTATAAAGATTCTCACCAACATTTTATAAAGATTCTGTTTTCCCCATGTTCTCACCAACACTTGTTAGAAGCCATCTCTGTGGGTGTAAAGTGGTGTCTCATTGTAGCAAACTATGCTTAGTGTCTTTTTGTGTATTGGCCATTTGTTTGTCTTCTTTGGGGAAATATCTATTTAAATTGTTAGCCAGTTTTTTTTTTTTAATTAGAAAGTCATATACAGAGAAGAGGAGAGACAGAGAGGAAAATCTTCTGTCCAGTGATTCACTCCCAAGCAGCCACAATGGCCAGAACTGCACCAATCTGAAGTCAAGAGCCCGAAGCCTCTTCCAGGTTTCCCGTGCAGGTGCAGGGTCTCAAGGCTTTGGGCTGTCCTCGACTGCTTTCCCAGACCACAAGCAAAGAGCTGCCTGGGAAGTAAGGCCACTGGGATTAGAACTGGCACCCATATGGAATCCTGGCACTTTCAGGATTTCAAAGCAAGGACTTTAGCTGCTAGGCTACTGCTCCAGGCCCACCAGTTTTTAAGTGGCTTGTCTGTTTAGTTGTAAGAGTTCATTATGTATTCTAGACACAATCATCAGATATATGATTTCCAAACTTTTCTCCCATTTTGTGCCTTATTATCATTTCACTTCTCTATGGTGTACTTTGACTCACAAGTTTTCATTTTGATGATATCCAGTTTATCAATTTTTCTTTAATTGTTTGCACTT